GAACAGTTTTCGCAAATGTGCCAGTGTTGCTTACCAGTTTGGCCAGAAAATCTCTAGAGCCAGCTTGATGCTGAAGGCTAGATTTAAAGCAAATAACATGTAGACCTCAAATGAATCATTCTTGAGTTCTTTTTTAAACTATTCAGAAGTTTCTTCTGAAATGTGGTCATCTTGATAAATCTTTATTGCATCTTTATTTGTTTATGTAAGGGTTATGTAAGGTGTTGTTTTTTAAGCCCCTCATTTTCATTCTGCCCTTTTAGTACTTGTTGTAGCCTGATGGGGGCGCTGTTTCTTCAGTGTTGGTTGTCTTTTCCAAAAGCACCTCTCATTGAAACAACTGGTTCCCTCAAGCTCAGAAAAATAAGATGATTATCAGTTTGAAAACTGAGTCTTGCAATATCTTGAGTGAAGTGAGTTTATTTGTTTGGCGCTCATCCTGTTTCAGAATTACATATTTACAAATATGTAATTACAAAAATTACAAATGTACATATTAGCTTCTTACGTACTTGAGATTTAGAAATCGTTGTTGGGGTATTAAGATGTTTTTCCAGTTTGGTGGTAATTGCCTGTCTTAGGAAGACTGAAATTTATTTAATTATCAGGAAAAGAAAGAACCCTTGACAGAACTTGTCCATTTGTTCTCCCATATTGATCAGTTTCTACCTTGAAATGGAAGCTTTTGTATTTGCTTCTTACTTTCCAATGGCTCTGAGGGGCAAAGGAGTTGATGATGCTGAAAAGCAGGCTGATGACAATCTGTTAGTCAATACGCCAATGAAGTAGACTGCATTTCTATTTCAGCAATCCTTTATCATTGAAGGTGTTGTTTTAACCCCTATAGAAACGTCATTCAAGTAGATAAAAGGGAGTGTGTGCCTGTGTGCATGAGTTCTAGACTTCTTGAGTGTCTCATTTCATATTGAAGGCTAAGTTAAATACAGTTTTGTTTAACAAATATTTCATTCATTAGCCTGTAAAGAACAAGGCCAAAGAACAATGTTTGTTTATTTATTTATTTTTTTGCCTCTCTGCTTGTAGGAAGTGATTCATATTGCAGTGATTGGGAATATTTCATATTAGCATAGGTTGAAGGCATGGCCGTCATTAAGGAGGATATGCAAAATGAGTAGAACTAAAATTGTGTCCGCAGTGTTAGCAGGATCAATAGCTAATTGTGCCCCAACTAGGCTCGGCGCTCAGTGCCAGAGCTTCAGCTATTAGCATATCACAGGAAGGCGATTTTAATTGGGCTGCTATTGAAAGCAAATGAACACCAACACACAAACTCTTATTTGCACAACAAGATAAATTTGCCAGAATTTGTCTGAGAAAACACTGAAAACATTTGTTTGTGAAATATTTGTAAGTTCATGCTCATAACAGCTTTATTTCCATTGTTGATGGTGTTTTAATGCAATTCAAACTTTATCAAACTACATTTTTTTGTACTACTTCTACTCATTGTGTCACTGTCTTGATGGCAGTTGTCCTTTGATGTTTTGCTCTTTACTTAGACATATTAGCTTGTGCTGTGTTGCTGCTGTATTTGGTGAATGACTAATTGTACATTTTACCACTCAGTGATACCCCAAGCTATGTTTTATTGTGGGTTCAACCTCTTTTTGCAATTTGTTAAAAAAAAACATCAATGAAAAAGCCAGAAATAATAATAATAAAAAAAACGCTCATTAAATGGGCCACTGCCCGCTCTGTCTGGCGTTTCTGAACTGTTTGGGCTACAGCCATGTACAGTTGACAGAGGGCTGTCAGAACTGCTCTACTAAGAGCTAATAAAGGTTCGAGTACCTCCACTGTATACGCCACGCATATACTGTGAGACTCTTGTACAACACAAGCCTGTCACGTCACCTTCAAGAATTTGTGCATAACTCCCGGTGATAAATAGTTATTATTTCATTTTCAGTTAGTATTTCATTTTCTTTTCCAATTTTTTTTGGAAATTAGCTTAAAACTTGTGAAAAGTTTAAATCGAAGGTGCATGCATTTCATCTCCTGTAACAGCTGCTAAGTGCGCTAATAATCTTTTGCCATCTATAATACATGCTGAAAACATGAAATCTGTTGCATATTATTGTATGTATAGTCACTTGTATGCCTAATACATCTGTTGCAGATAAGTGAGAGCTGAAAAATAAGATTGTCCAACTTTAGATATGTTTCTGATATGTACTTTATATTGTGCAAATTTTGTTAGTCATGGCCATGATCATTCGAGGGCGCACACCTAGCTGTAATGCTAGCATACTGTTTTATACATCATTGCTATTCAAAGAAAAACATGCATCTCCATTTTTTCGATCTTTTCTCCATTATTTGAGCACTGTAGCTTTACATCCTGTGATAATTTCATGATGAATGAAGCAATAGAAATGCTCCAGAATTTCTTGGAATGAATTTTCTTTACGTTAACTTGCATCGAAAGTGAAGAATGTTTTTGTCCTCTCCTGTAAACATAACATTTTGGAGATGCTTGTTTTTCTTTGGACAGCAAGGATATTCTGGACTTTGGCACTTCCGTCTATCTGACCTCTACTTTTTGCCAGTTTTCTGGATCACCAGCATGCCACAGTGAAGTGATGATTCTGCCTCCTTCCTGACCGTTAGTGAACCATTGAGACCAGTGTGTGTGTGTGTGTGTGTGTGTGTGTGTGTGTGTGTGTGTGTGTGTTGTTCTAATGGCTTTTCACTGCCATTACAGAGAGTATCTCAGTAAATGAGTATTAAAATGTAGCCACTATGATCTGTCCTTGTTTTTTCTGGCCTGACTTTTCTTTACAATCCTGACAAGAAAATTATCTTTCAAAATGTACGCAGATGTATTCTGTAGGTTTAACACAAGTACAGCACTGTTATGTTGCAAAAGGATGTCTGAATGTGTAATTTTGCAAACAGGCCAAAAATTTAGCAAGGTTGAGTTGCAGGAAATTCAGATTTTACTGGTATGCCTCAGATTAATCTTTTTTTCTACTATATTTTTCAAATTGTGCTTTTATTACATGCTTATTGCATCTTTTTTGTGAGGTGGATGTTTATCTCTGAGCCTGGAAAAACTAGTTTTTGCAATGTTGAGTCCAAGTTCCTTGCACTGGAAATGTTACTGCAATCTGTCACTGCCTTGTTAGCTTGATTATGTCCAACTTGTCATGTTTTTATCACTTTGTTTTGCTTTAGTTACCAGATGCGCTTCCCTGGCTTTGTCATCATTTTTTAAAATGATTTGTAATTTGTACTTAGTGGTTGTTTTGAATTTCTCCTATTAAGAGTCTACAGTTGAGTAAAGTACTATATTAGTTTGCAGATCAAATTTTATTGTACTTTTGACTAAATTACCTTCATCCAAGTGTCAATTGCAGTGAGGCAGTCTGACTTTGTGGAATTATTAATTTTAAACCATACTTTATATCCTAAAGGGCTCATTTCATGGAAATCAGATTTCTCACATTTTTAAAATAGGAGTTTAAGATAGTGTATATAAACATTGTTAAATTTACAAAATGAACCGTTCACTCCACAGTCCATACAGTCCATATATGAAAACAAAGCTACAAAAACAGTCTGCTTTGCATTCATTGTCTCTCTAATTTCCCGAGAAACCAACACATTTACACATATGCACCTATTCAGCCTACACCAGTTTAGATCTGCCAGTTCTTGCTGAAGTTATTCAGAGTGTTTCAGCCCAGATTGCTTATTGAATAAGGGCTCAACACAGCGCAGCCAATCAAAACAGATTACATCAGTCTGTAACAAACAGCAGAGTAACAAAAACAGCTTGTTTGTTTGTAAGGGATAAAGAGAGGTTGGAAAATGGTCATTTAAAAATGAATAATACCTGTTTTTGGTATATAAACCCACACAAATGGTATAAGTAGACGTCAGGGAAAGAAGTAAAACACAAGAACAATATAGAATGTTGTCTAATTCAAGCAATATTGTAATACTTAAAATACAATCCTGTGTGCTGTTTAAAGTATTAAGAGTCTGCTCCCACTGTTCTGGCTCAAAGACTGCAGAGGCTAGTGCAATCAGTGTGGACAGGTTTCTTGTTCAGTAATGTCCTTGTTTTCTATTGGAATGGTTTGTATTTTATTGTATTGGAATTCTTGAGCAATACAATTAAGCAGTCTGCACACTAGTAGTCTGACTCTAAATTAGGGCTTCTTAACCTTTTTCACAGTGCCACCCTTTTTTGTGGTTAAAAATATAAAATATCTCACGACCGCCTCTTTGCCAGACTACCCTCACCTACCCACACACACCAATGTACACTAAACAAAAAGAAATTTTGAAGAATATGCGAATATTAAGTCTACTCATTTACTGGGTCTACATTTCTTAGCTGGCACTTCACCACAAACCACCAATCTTTAGCCTGATGCTGAAAAAATGCTTCAGGTTTAGCAGTCAGTCAAGACCCTCCCTCGGTAACAAGCTCACCCATTTGAAATTCATAATCAACATTAGCCTGTCTTCCATGGTCTGTAAGTGGACCCATTCAGCAGAGCTTGTATGCACTCAAGATTATTTTCTCTTCATTTGATAAGGTATGTCTTTTAGCACTACTCTTGCGACCCTCAAGTCAAGTCAAGGTTAAAAACCCCTGCTCTAAATCCACTCCAGAAAAAAACACAATCCCTGCTCTGATGCCTTCTTGCTGATGAACATCACATTTCATGTCTTACCGTCTCACCGTGGTGCAGTTAATGACTAACATGGAGAGTCTGTGAATTTAAAATAGCAATTTGGTTGTGGAATTTGTTCATGGGGAAAAAGGCAAGAGCCCTCTTAAAGGAAAAGATCATAGCAGAACACTCTTCTCCATGTTTATTTTATGAAATGTTTACTGAGGCATGTAATTGAAATGTCTGTTTATGTTTATTTGGCAACATATAAACATTTGGTTGTGCAGTTGTGGGGAAAAAAAACAAAAACTTAACCTTTTGACCCTTAACAATGGTTTCATGTGTTTACAGCTAACCGCGAGATCCTTACCAGCCGTGCAGTCTGATGAACGACTCCAGCCACTGCTGAACCACCTCAGGTAACTGGCTTCATTAGAGCAGCTCCTCTGCCGCTCTATTATTTATCATCTCAGTATGGTCATTAGGGTCACCTTTCATAAGTCAACGAGCGTGCTGCCGTTTCAAAGGAAGATAAGGCAAGGATTTTGTGTTTCTGTTGAGCCAAATGCTTTGACAAAGCATGATGTGAAGAAACATTGTTAAAGTTAGAAAATGTAGTGTTTGCTCTGAAGTCCATACAGGCCATATATGGAAACTAAGCTACAAAACAGCTTGCTTTGAATTAATTTCTGTGATTTCACGAAAACCAACTCATTTACAAATATGCAGCTGTTCAACTTGCAGCAGTTTAGCTGTTTCTATTCGTATTGAAGTTTTAAGGAGTGTTTCAGCTCTGAGTGCTTTTTGAAAACAGCCTGTTTTAATTCTAAAGGATAATGGTCATGTAAAAATGACTAATGACTGTCTTTGGTACATAAACCTGAAAAAATTTTTAGAAGTCAGGGAAAGAAAGAAAACATGCTTACTAACCCCTCTGGTGAAAGTTTTTCTCTGCATTTTCTTCTGCTTTCCTCCTGAAGTTGTAGGTAGTTTCTGTCTGGTGGTGTTTTCTGACACTAGGCTTATTCTGAAGCATCTGAAGCTGATCACCACATCTTTTTCAAACTACCTCCCACGCAGCATCGTAGAGCAGACATTCTCGATTGGCAAGCACATATATCTCTATTGACAGGCACGGAACAACTCCGGAGTCCTTTTTAACCAATGAGAGCGCAGTTGCACTCTTGTAGCTTCACTGGGAACGCTCTGTGGGACGTGTTTTTCCTGCCCACTGATGCTGCAGAAACATTGTAGTTATTATGAGTTTGCGCATGCAGTGATGACATCTTGCCTGTTAATTTCTCTTGTTTTTCTTTTTGTGCCTTTTGTTCTTTCATACTGTTACCTCACTCACTTCTGTGCATGACCTCAACACAATGTCAGTGATTCATCCTGGGCCTTACACATGTAAACGAGGTTGTGTTGAGTGCTCCTGGCCCCAAGGGGATGCAGGTGTATATTAAAGCCCAGCCTGGAGCTCATTTGCCTTCCACTGCCTGTCCACCTCTACTGCGTCCACAGAAGAGTGCGTTTTGTCCATTCTCTCTTTTGTGAAAGAAAGGAACAATGGCAGCGTGCCTGACTGGCATCACAGCCCGCAGCCATTTCATTTGCCTTCAGATAGCCCCTGAATGCAGCCTCTTTAATTGGATCTGTCTGTTGAGAGCACAGAGGCAGTGGTTGTGGCAGTGATTTCTTGCTGTAAGGTACTTTTGTTGTGTGTCATCACTGGTCTGGCTAGATAAGATGGTCGCGAGGGCCGGTGTGACCCTGAGCAATGCGGGGACGAGTCCAGTTGTGGATTCAATCGTGGACTGTCCTCAGAAGAACTGGCAAGGACACTCTTTCATAATATCACATACAGTTGGAGGGGAGTCATATGCTTATACGTTTATAGTAAACTGTATCATGAAGAATCTCAATCTGAGGGCAGAGGTCCCAACAGAAGATCAAATAATAGAAATGGTTAAATATGATAGAGGATGAGTCTGTTTTGGGAAATTGAAATAGTATACTTATGAGCACAGATTGGAGTGGGTGATAAACCAAAATTAATTTTCCAAACCAAAATATTTTCCAAGTCTGAAGTACTTTTTTTAACCCCTTAAAACCTGACAGGCTTAACATTTTATTACACACTTCAGTGACCTAAGAATAGCTCAGTGAGTTTGCACTGAAATACGTGTAGTTGCTCAGTAATAAGCCTTAGTATGTAATGAGTCTGGGATATTAAGGGGTTAACATTTAACACGGGGAACGAGGGAAGAAAATGCAGAGAAAGAAGAAATGGATTCATTGTGTAGTAATGGCGACATAGATGCAGACACTTAACAGCCCATTCTGTTAACAAACAGCGTTGAGTTCACTCAACCCACACGAGCTGAAGCTGTATATATATATGTGTGTGTGTGTGTGTGTGTGTGTGTGTGTATATATATATATATATATATATATATATATATATATATAGTAAAAAGTGTAATTATGAGCTCTGATGGGAAGGACAGCATTAGTGTTAGTGTTCTGCTTTTTTTGTTGTCTTTAAAACTGGACTTAAGGCCTTAAGGCTTTGTTGCTCCATGTAGTGCAAATGGAACCTGTCCTAGATATACTGAATTTGTAAATAAAATACCCGTTTTTAGGCCTTTCGCAACCATTACATTTTAGTTAGTGATTTACCATATAAATAATACAACGTAACTATTTAATTGTCCTTTTTGTTCATTGCGTGCCATTATTAAAGCAACACCTTGTTTTTTCATTATCTATGATGTCTCTCAATAAATGCATTTTCTGCTTAATTTATTCATTTTATGCTTGCTTTTGCCTTGCTTGTGACTTTGAAACAGATGTGGAAAATAATTGCAGTCAGCTCAGATAATTGCAATGAGGTGATTATGCAATAATTGGGACAGGCCTACCCATATTTTTAATAATAATAATAATTATTATTGTCATTAATGTTGTCCTGATTTTTTTTTATTGTTATTATTCAGTCCTTTGTTTACTTTCTTGCTAGTCTTGTAATGTAAAGTTATGTTTTTTGTCAAATAGAGCACAACAGAAGAGTGAAAAGGCAAATAAATTCAGTTGTTTTCAAAGGTTAGCTTGGTACATGTCCCAAAATAATCAATACCTGTAACTTGTAATTTAAAGAATCATTTCATGTTTAATTAATCTTAGGGTCAGAGCTTTTTGTGGTTTAGCATTATTGGTTTCAGACCTGTGTAATTTGTACCATGGAATGGTACCACACTGGTACAAATCACGGCACTGATCACTTATATACCAGAAAAATTCCCTTCACTAATTGGAGCATGGATGAATTGTAACATCAGCTAATATGGTTTATTATTTACAGTAATTATGTACTTGCTTCTTTTTGATTTTTAGTTATTTCCCCATCAAACTGCAACCACTAAAACATGCATGTCTTTAACAGTGTTCCTGTTAAGAAAGAAAAGTAAGCTTATCTCTCGATGACTGTGGCACTGTTTCTGCAGTTCCTAATTGGGATTTGAAACTGCTTGTTTTTCTCTAGTGAATGTCAGGCAGTGATTATGTTGTGTACTTAATCTCCCAAGTGCTGCGGTTGAGTATCTGAATGTGCCATTTGTCTTTGGTTTTAAGGGAAAATTGCATAAATATTTTTTATGATTGGATTGATTGACCGTCATTGATAGTCAGAGAGAAAAGTGTTTTTATGCTGCTGTGTTTACCAAGATAGAACATTCTTATTTTCTGGGGTTTGAATTGCAAGGCTTGTCAGAATGCTTCAACTGGTGAGTCTAAAAATGGATTCCTGTGGCAGTCTCGCAGCGTATCTGTGACAGTTGGGTCAAATATGTGTAATAAAAAATTATTTTTAGGAGAATTGTTCCTTTAAGAGACATATCTTGGTATATGTTGCTCTGACTCATACATAAATAATCCACCACATAACTGCAATTGTGTAGTTACATGTTAAAATGCTGTAAGCTTTCTTTTCTCTCTCAGCTGTTTTGATTTGTTTTGTGTTGCAGCCATGCCTATGTTGGCCAGGATTACAGCATCCAAAAGAACATTGGGAAGGTTTCCTTGGAGCAGATTGATGCAGTGAGTACTCAATGGGACATGATGCAATTCAAATGGAACAGAAACACTCACATTAGCATATTTGACTCCTCCACCAAGCGGGGCAGTTTTCCATAGATGTAATCTGACACTCCTGGGCACTGATTTCTCCAGCTCATTTTCTTCCAAGTGGCTTTTGACCATTTAATTATTGTAAACATACAATGCTACATATAACAAAATCCCCACATATAACCTCAGTATCTCTAGAGCGCTGCTCTCAGCAGCGTCTTTACTGGCTTAGTGGGATATTGTGCGTGTTGCTTTGGTGGGTATGAGCAGACATTTTGGGCAGGAGAGCTGTCTGCAGATGGAAATGTGTGTTGCCTCCGTATGTATTGTTTCTTTCGCCACCTCTGAGGCGATTGCTGTTCCAATTAAGTGGCCTGTCAGCTCATGCAAATTTTGTCCTTCAGTTTTTACTTTTATTTGGGCACATTAAAATGGAGGCACTGTGTTCTCGTGAAATTAGTGCCTCATTTACAGTGACACCGCAGAATTTAGAATTCAGCAGAGTTTGCAATTGGCTTCCTCTGCATGCAAAGCTGGTCCATGTCTTGTTCCATCTCAGTGTGTCTCTTTCTGCCTCCGTCACACACAACTAGGCACACTCAAGTATGTATTGCATGCTGAATTTACATTATGACAGTGGAGCAGCAATAGAAAATCTACCACCAGCAGTAGCAACGGCAGCGTACTGCAGTGGTCTGCAAACAGTCCATCAAGATGTCAATTTCGTAATAAACCAGATGTTGAATTTTGGTGAAAGCCACGTCATCTCGTTGTTGAGGTCCAGGTGCACCCAGTGTTTATACAAGAGTACAGAGCATCCACTACTTTTTTCCCACCTTTATTATTTGAGACTGATAAACTGCTCTGCTGATAATCAATTTTCACCTGTGATGCTGTCAACATGTCTGCATGCCACCGTCATAACATGTACTAGCTATGAGTCATTTTGGCATCTTTTTAATTATTTATTTTGGATGGAAATATATAAACATAGCATTATATTTTTTGGTTCAGCTCCCTAAAAGGACAGTGAAGTTTGACCTTTTTAACTTTTTGCTGGATTTTAAAAATCTTAAAACCAACAATTAGACCCTTTTTTTCAGTTTTAACATCATGGATTTGTTCTGATTTACAGCTGCACATGGACAGCATATCCACTATATATTATGGCGGCAACTATTGAATATTTTCATGTTCAAAAATGTTATCGAATATTACCTTGAGTATTTGAATATTCTTTTAGAGTAAGAAATGCTTAAGATGTTTCACTTTAATGATTGAGTGAAGTAAGATTGAACACTATTGTTGGCCCTGTTATCAGCACATTGGGAGTACAATCTCCAGTGATGCTATAGCCATCCATAGCTGGGAGTCAAGAGAGTGCAATTAGCCTTGTCCTCTCTGGGTGGGTAGGATGGCCCTTCCTCTCCTCCAATCAATCCAGCGCGATGCTAGTCAGTGCAGGCATCTGCTGACGTGACAGAACTGGCAGTTGGTGTTCTCCTCCAAGCGCTTTCAGCTGTCCAGTGCCATTACGTTAGCGGCAGTTCGAAAGGATGCGTGTGGTAGCCTTCACTCTCCTGGCGCTGGTAGTATCGTGTGATTGCGGAGACCTAACTAGCGGGTGGAACTGGACACAAATAGGGAAGAAAATTAAGAAAAATGCCAAAAAAAAGTTATCAAACTCATTGTTGTGTGAAAGTTTTGTATGATTGCTGGAAGCTTCAGATTTCTGTTTGTTTTTGCTTTTGCCTTTTTAATGAAACTGGAAATACTACAAGGTATTTGACAAACATCATGTGTAGTAACATTAAATGCTAATCGGGGGACCTTGGGAACTCAGAAAGCATGCGGAATAGTGTGTTTTAACCACATTGTCATAAAAGCAGTCACTTCTGAGCAAGGGGGTGACCATGTTTTAGATTCTGTATAGATTGTCTAGTTTTTAGGTTTTTAGAAACCACTTTATACCTGAGTACATGCTAAATCTGCTAAGTCCAGCATGCTGTCATTAATTCTCTGCAATAAATGCAGCCGAGAGCATGCTAGCTAGCAATCCAGAGAAGCTGGAAAGTCAGTTGGGCTGCAGTGGGGAATTAAAACAGACATTAATGCCTCAAATTAGCTCTCCAGTACAGGCAGTTAGGAACAACAGTCACAACAGCTATGACATGAAAAAAGGCTAACCATAATTCACTGTTTGTGTGTGACGTGCAGGCAGATTATATGGCACTGCTACTGTGTGCTACTGGTGACTTGCTAGCGTTTAGCTTTATAAGCAAAACTTTGTTTCCAGTTAGACGATAAAAAGTGATGCTTGGAAGCACAAGGTTTCATAAAACGGGTAAAAGTGTAGAACTGTACTATGTCAGTAGAATTACATTTTTTTTTTAAGGTTAAAATGAACAGTAGTGATGGGTATAGATAGACGCTTAGATCAATTTTTTTAATATATAGCCAGCAGATGGCTTGCTTTACCAGTAATAATGTGTGAATCTCCCTTCATCCCTCCATCAGCTCTCAGCAAAGTCCTTCCCTCTGTGCATGAGGCAGCTCCACAAGGCCTTGAGAGACAACCACCACCTGCGCCACGGCGGCCGCATGCAGTATGGCCTCTTCCTCAAGGGCATCGGCCTCACCCTGGAACAGGCGCTTCAGTTCTGGAGGTCCGAGTTCATCAGAGGCAAAGTGGACGCTGATAAGGTAACTTTTAGCTACCAGTGGAAGTTTGTTCTCATTCTTTGCTCTTGTATATGGAGCTTTTCATTGCTGGCTTGCTTCTGTTCTGTTCTTTTGTTGTGCTGATGTACTTGTTCTCCCTTTTGTCCTTCAATAATTCTCAAGTAATGAAGGTCACTCAGACAGATGAGCGCTCTCATACTGATGGTGATGCTGGAAATAATTTGGTACCCTTCCTTTGTGTCCTTAATTACGAAATTCTGGAGAACGCGCTGTTTTTGAGTCCATGGTACATTTAACAAGAAAATTACGCTCCCAAGCTGAGCCCTCCATTTCTCTCCTCCTCTCGCTCTTCGAGCGAATGTTTATTCCCAATTGCTTCTCAATCAAGGAGACGCTAATGAAATTCACATCCTTACCTGAGAATGCCTGTCCTGTTGGGGACACATTTGAATATAATCAGTTGTCTCTCGAGAGTCAAGTGCTCACATACGGAGTACAGAAATCCCCTCACATTTGTGTAGAATTGCCCTCTGGCTTCTCCAGCTGGCCAGTGACTGAGTTTTAGTTAATTTTTTTTCCTGTTTCCTCTGGAGTCTCTGTCAAGTGTGGCAGGATTCATACATCGTCCGTATCTTAGCACCATGCTGTTCATCGCATGAGGTGGTTTTGTGGGGAAAATGTTAATTGGCAAAGCAGCGCTGATGTAATGATTTTCTGACTTCTGCTGCTTTCGAAGAGGTGGGTGATGCTGTATTGCTTCATGCAATATTCTTAATTTCCCTTTGAATTTATAGTGGACAAATCTATTGACAGACCTTTTTGTAGATGTGAAGGATTGCTGCATTAGTGCCAGAATTACTCTGTGGAGCATCGCTGTACGTTAATGGCTGAGGATTACACAGGCCTTCAGAACCGAGGCACAATGGAAAAGAAATTTGTTTGAATTCTCAGGCAAGATGCAAAGAATTTAACAGTTCAAGGGAACATTACTTATGCCTTCCGAGCAGCGCAATTTGTTTAGCCTATACTTTTCATATACTACATTTGTACTTTAATATTCTGTTGAGCTTGTATAATTTATGGATTAAGGAAACATGATATGGTTTTAGCAGCACAGTGAAAGAAAACAAATACTACAGCAAGGTTGTTTTCTTTTGCCATTTTTCCCCCTGAGCTGTTTTATCTTATAAATGAGCATAATATTCGGCTAAATGCATTATTCATGGTTTAGTGCACACCGACTGCAGCATGTGTATTGAACAATACAGTCCTAGTAATGCTGTGATGGGCTGTTGCTTTCGACTGTGAAGAGAGGTGAATATCTGCACCTGAAGTAATCTAAAACGAATAAACTACACAATAGATCTGTCTATTTCTGCACACACCGCACTTCCCTTCTCCATCTATGAAATGGTGTGCAATTTTCTGTGACAACATTGTAAAGGCAAAAGGGAGACAAATTAAGGTCATTTTCGACAGAATGGAGCATTTCCATTTTGGCGAAAATAAGATGTCACTTTGCGTGACAAAAGCAGTGAATGAAGATCAAGAGGACTGCAAATTTGGAATGTGTTTCCAGGCCCCAGTCAAAAATAAGACAGCAAAATAATCACAAATAGCTGTATTTTCCTAATTTAGAGTGACATCTATAAGTAGCACGGGTACTTTTGAGTTTTGCCATATGGTTTAGCTGGGCGGTAGCAACTTGTTTTTAATGAAATGAATAGAGATCGACCTTTATGGGAATTATGGGCCGATGCAGATATCCAGTATTTTTCATGTACGTATATTCTGCGGCTGATATGTAACCCTTTGTAAAGTAGAAATTGGGTCTGAATCTGAATTATCTGGATTAGCATTACACAGAAATTTAATATTTATTGTTATAGAGTCACAAATACAGTAGAATTATTAGAATGCAGATATTTTAGCACAATAGCCCCGTGTCACCCAAACATTCGGCAGTTCCAGAATACAATAAACACATCAAAAATATTAGTTTGAAGCAACAATCCAATCAAAACGTTTAACAACTTAACAACAGCTTAACTTTAACAACTTATTATAGAAATTGTTTGTTGAACAAACGCTGTTGCTATTGTGTCACCCCTGAACAGCATCCTCATGTGTGCTTTGCGTGAATATTAATGCTTGGGATGTAGGTTCTGAGGGGTGTTCTCAGATGAACTAAACTAGTGCTTCTTTTAAACAGAACTGGATAGTAGAGCTTCATTAAAACAGTTTCAAAGTAAGATAAAATAAAGATGCTGCTGTGGTGTTTCTTAAACAGCATACTAATGTGATACCAAATCATTCAGTCTCTTTAAGGGTGGAATCCACTTTAAAGTTAAAATTAGTGACTAGGCAGAGAGAGGAAATATTCCATCCTACATAAGGAAAGACCCGTGCCCCCGTGAAGTGGAAAAGCAATTACATTTTCTGGAGAAATAGTGTCCTTGAGCTGTGTCAGTATTTAAGCTTGCTAAGCACCCAGTATCATTGCTTCTCTGCGCTACCACCATGCAGACCCCCTTATTGCTGATACTTAAAGTCAGCTGTCCAGGCTAGAAACAGTAGGGCTTAATGTACATATGAATTTTTGAACGTATGCAGTGTAAAGGTGTCTGATCTGACAGACAAAAAAAATTATACATTACTTGGGTTTGCTGATTTGACACCTTATAGTACACCTTATAGTAGATGGTAGCCTATATTTTTCTGTAAAAGCTGCTGAGCTTCAAAATGAGCTATTTTTAATCGAAACACTAAAGATCATACATGAAAACTCGTCATCTTTCACCAAAATTTGCTGTTTTGGGTGATTAACATGCCATTCATGTGAGCTGTGTAGATTTAATAAGTTTTTAATATTGTGAAGGGGGGTCTACAGCTAGCTGAGAATTGTGAGAAAATCCCTCCTCTCCACCAAACGCAGCTGGTGTGGTTATTTTAACAGCAGCTGCTCAAGGTCATTATTCAGCCAACCCACAAATATAGTATTTAATTTTTATTGACCAATCAGATCTAAAATAACATGACTGAAACGTAAAGAGTCACATTTTGTGAGTGGTCAAGTGTTACATTTTAGCACATTCAGATTTTTTTCCTAAGTAGCTTCTGAAAGATGAAGGAGAAGCGTATTATATATGTAAATTATCATTGTTAATAACAAGATGATCAGCATCTAATTTGTTTTTTGTCTGAAATTAATGTAGAACAATAACCACTATGCAAGCTAAACGATTGTCAACAAATTACATGGCCAGTGGCAATCATCAGGGTCCAAGCACTTTTTGGGTCCAGTAGAACACAAATGAGTCTAAATGAATTTTCAGAATGGCCTCTACTTATAAAAGATATGGTCGCAAAAGAAAATGTCTGCAAGATTTTGTACACATTGGTCTTGGTAAAGTAAGCAACTTTTTTTTTTTTTCCCCTTAACAAAAATGTCAGTGTCTTAAAAAAAAAAAAAATTGAAAATTGAAAATGTATGGGCTATAGGCTTGGCGTTGTATTTGCATAGTGGTTGAGCTTGATGAACTAAGTAATTCCACAGGAGTTATCCCTATATTTTAGTCTCAGAATACAAGAATTACATGTTAACTTAAATCCCCAACTGCAGTTTCCCCATACAGAAGTGTTTTCAGTATCAGTCCGATCCAGTATTTTTCAGCCCAGATTCAGTTTCTAGTAATGAGTAATTTTAACTGGTTTTATTCAACTCAAACAAATACATTGAAAAGTTCAGCTGAACAAAAGCAGTATTTTACATCAGGTAAATCTTCATACACTTCAAATCAACTTATGCTCTGTTGCACATTTTACAGTGTAATGATTTGTGCACCCTGTGTTGAACACGGTCTAACTTGCATTCTAAAACATTAAAAAACCCTGTTAGATGAATGAAAGATGCTGAAAATCAAAAACAGAAATATAATTTTATGAATTGTTTCAAATTCCAGTATTTTAATATAGCCATTATGAAAGCACTGTATTTGTGAAATCATCTGACTTTCTTTTTTTTGAATGCAAAAGCTCTCTACTGTGTTTTTAAAAGACAAAAATCCTCAATTGATTTAAATTCCATTATTATGCTCAGACCTCATTTGTATTTGGCTATTTGCTTGTAGCCTAATATAGTCATTATGAAAGCACTATGTGAAATCTCCTTGCTTTCTTTTTTGAATGAATTGTTGTGCAGCTATGTAACCTTCTCTCTTTCCCTTGAGACTTGAGCAGTGCTCTTAAGACCCAGACATTCGCCATGCCCCACAGCTGGCAAGAAACATGCTGCCAGTTCAAAGAGGCTCTTTTGCTTTGACTACTGCTAAGCCACTTTCACAGACTCAAAAGCATTTGGAGGGTGTCTGTTTACCCACACTCCCCTCTCTTAACCCCCATCCATGCCAAAAGTCGGGGAGGGGGGAAAGGGGGAGGGGGAAAACCCACATCCAGACAAACACATTCTGTGAGGGTCATGCACTGCCACTCGCAAGAGTGCCCCATTTCCAGGGTGGCTGCATCCCCTCAGCCTGCCCTCTCAGGTGTAACCCAGTCAGCCCCGCGCTCCAAACGGACTCTATGTTCCGTGCCACAGGCTGGAGTGATGTGCAGCAGGCGGCTGCGGCTCCGTGAGTGATGTATGTGTGGTGTCAGGGACAGCAGACCGCACGAGGGGTCCCATTAACATTCCACTATTGGCAGCAAAAGAGAGCCCCAGCAGCACAGCCCAGTCTGTTCCCAAGCAGTGTACAGATTGAAGATGTGATGGAGACGACATTCTCCGGCTATAACCTGTGCAGTTTTCACTGGAAGATGTTTTTTAGATAATTGCAAAGTAGAGGGGCACCAAACATACATTTTGGATCCCTATTCTGATTTCTTGATAGCTATTTTTATTTATTTATTTATTTATTTTTTAGACTGCATTATAGCATCACTTGTGGTTAAAAAAAGGAAATATTCTGAATTTGACAGCATGCCAAATCTAAACATGTCTACGTCATATTGACATCCTTGCT